AGAGGGAGAGAGAGAGGAAGGAAGGAAGGAAGGAAGAGATGGAGGGGGCGAAGAATTTTAGCAGCCAATGGAAATGAGACAAAATATGATGGGCAGGGGGGTATCAAAAGATGCAGCTGGAGAAAAGTGGCCTATTGCTGGCTCAGAAGCATCGCTGATGCCCAGCAAAGGGAATTTAAAAAATAATGTAATTACATATACGTCGATATATTTTGACACAGGTAAATATGGCATGGTATTTATGGGCTAAGGTGTGTTGCCATCAGTGCTGTGACCATCAAATATTACAATAAACCAGCTGTGCTATTATGACACAATTATAGTAGATGGGTTGACATGGAGACTGAAGACAAAAAATAAGAAAAACAAATAATAATAATAATAATAATAATAATAATAATAATAATTTCAGAGAGATCTGTTGTTGTTTGATTCTGTGTAACTCCATGAAGAACATATGAAGAAAAAATAAATGTAAATGTTGGTTGAAACTTTGCGCCCCCACTCCCTACAGTCAAATCCTGAGCAATGTGTGTGCTTAAAAAAATTCTGTGGTTGTAGGAAGGAGGTGCAGGTTGCATTTTCGGGATTAGATTACCACTAAAGCTAATCCCTCTATGCTCTTTTCTTTTCGCTCATCTGTTGTGCTCGGGCTTAATCCCGGATCCCAGTTCGGTTTGGATTAAAAAAAAAAATCATCAGTTTCCGACAAAACTTTGGCCTCCTCATCCCTAAATGAATGCTTTGATTGATGCTCCCAAACAAACAGCAGGTTAGACAACTAATTAGGAGTCTATGTGCCAGATGAACAGACTGCGAGGCTGCTGGGTTGTTAGACAAGCCTGAAATCAATAAGGCCTGCACTCTGTGTGCTGCTACAGCAAATCTCAGCACCATTCGTGTCAATTCCTTGCATAAAGGCTTTAAAATCAATCAATAAATAAATAAATAAAACTGTGATTTTACCCTTATTTTTTCCTTTTTTTGTAAAGTGCCTACTTTGGTCATTTCTGGATCTTTCCAAACCTCTATATAGCCTTTACAGTTTCACTGCAGGCCGTGGAGTTTTCCCATTTTCTGCCTTCATGGATGCACGCTAAAACAAACAGCCTCACCGGGCTTAAATATCTGGTCTCCTTGTTGTCCCACAGCGATGTTCTTGGCTCACGCAGAGTCCTTTCATCTTCAGCTCTGATATATAATTCATCGGAAAATATCTAACAGCCCTGGGGAGCGTTTCAGCTAAACGGAGCCGTGGTTGTTAAAAGGTGAAGTCGCTTGTTAATGTCTGTGGCAATATGCCCTCCCCCTGTCTCCCGGCGAATCGACGCAGTCACGGTTTCTCCTGCTGTTAGGGAGACGAATTGAAGGCTAAGAATCGTGGGACTGCAACGCTGCTCTCTCTCAGAGTGTACTGGATAACGCTGGCATGAGGGAAGTATGTTGAGCTGCTGCCACTTCTCTTTTCCAGCACCCATTTGTTTGTTCCTTGTACATCAGGGTGACAGACTTTAAATATTAAACATTTGTTTAAAAATATCATAATCACAATCTAATGAAAGAGTTTGATCTCTAATTTATGGGGTATAAATGGGGGTAAATGTAACATTTACACGATGTAAACACAATATACCAAATTGTATCGCTTCATGGATTAATATTCTTAATCTTTATTTCCTCTGACTACCTCTCACTTCAGTGGTCTAGGCCTAAATCAAGGTCAAATCAATGACTTGGCCCACTCTGTCAATCCCATCTGTTACACACTGATGGGGGGGAAACTATATTGGACATTATCGTGATTTTTTTTTTCTTTTGCCATCTGCACCTGACAATGATAAATTTATTGATAGGCATTGTGGAAGAAGCCATACACGTATTGATGATTACAAGAAGACAAACCGAGCGTCCCTCGATATTTAACTATTGTATTAACAGAAGGCTCTGCTCAGCAGCTGAACAACGGAGACAAAAACCTTCTTATCCTGTGAGGGGGAGCTGTTTTCCAGCAACTCAAATGTGAAGTCACACTGGCAAAAAAAAAAAGTGTATAGAGCTTTTTGTGTCTTATTGGTTGGGAGAGAAAAACTTTTGCTCCCCAACTGGTTGGTAAATAGTTGCTAGAGGTTGCTGGCTGTTGCCAGGTAAAATTGGCACCAAAGATGGCGCTACATCAAAAACCTCCTTATGATTGCTTTGCTGAGGTCACTCGTAGTTTGCATGGAAGATGCTGGGTTGTCTGCAAACATTGGCCAACTGCTAGCCGAGTGGTAGTACAACTTACAGGATGCAAACCAGAGACAAACTTGCACTTGCAAACTGCTCAGCTAGTAGTTAGCAAAAGATTTGCAGAGTGACTACAGCTAGGTACTAGTGACCAAAGGAATTGCTATTAGACATTTGCCCCCCCAGTAAGAGAATACACATAACCTCTGATCAGACCTTAGGCCTTTAGGACTGTTTTAGGCAGCTGATTTCCCAGAAACTACCATCAACCTCTAACAAGCACTTGCCAGCTGATCAGGGAGGACTTTCCCTAGCAAACAGTGGTTGATAGATGGTAGAGAACCAGTCTCCAGGCCTGTGTGGCTGGGGACTTATTGCCATGCTCAGATTTACATGACAAAATCCAATTATTGCAACAATACATTAAATAAAATAGCAAATTTTAACACCTTTAAATGCTAGCGTGGTTTGGCTACATGTACTTTTCCGGTGATTTTTGGAGATTCTTCTTTGATAGTTTGGTGTCAGTGCCGTGCTTCATATTGCACCTGCAGCACAGTATTACCATTTTCCCATTATAGTCCACTGCCTCATGGCTGTCATAGCTAATATCACATCATATTCATGCCCTTCATTGAGATACATCCACCACTTGTGGTTTCCCCATGGGAGAGTTGAATGCCTAGTGCCTGCTGGTACCTCGTTAACCTCCCAC